CAAATAAGGAATATACATTGGAACAATATACATCAAACGGCCTTGGGCCCAATTTATATTTCTACTAATACATACATACATAGACATATGTAAGTTAAGTAACTGCGATTCCAAACACATCATACGGCCGCAGGTCCAATTCATTAGTGTCAAACTGTTATTCGTGTTAAACTGTTATTCGTGTTAAACTGGACTCTGGCCTATTCATGCATGTCAAACTGGCCTCTGGCCCATTCATGCATGTCAAACTTTCATTTGTGTCAAAACGGCCTTTGGCCCAACCATTTGACATCGACCTTCAGCCCAATCATTCAGGTCAATCGACCTTCGGCCCAATCATTTATTCTTGTCAAAATTGCCTTCGGCCCAATTATTCATGTCAATCGGCCTTCAGCTCAATCATTTATTCTTATCAAAACGGCCTTCGGCCTAATCATTCATGTCAATCGGCCTTCGGCCCAATCATATTCTTATCAAAACGGCCTTCGGCCTAATCATTCATGTCAATCGGTTGTCCACAATTCAAACTAGCAAACTTGTAAAGAAATAAACAATTGGACAATTGACAAACTTCAAAATATCGATATTATTTACAGTGATCGGCTTGTGGATTTGCCCTGGAGTTTGACCCTACACATCATATAACACATATGGGTTACAAACAATTCAATCCGTTCTTTAATTCACATATTCCTCTTTAGGTTTCATTCTTATCTCTTTAACTCAATTACAATGCTTAATGCATGCCTAAGAGTGCTTGCAAGTGAAAGAGAACGGAAAACGAAACGGGGTCCCTGCTCGAGCGGACCCTTGAGGCCTGCAAAAGTACTGGTTAGGTCAAATTTACGCTCAATCGTTCACTCCGGCGCTTGAGCGGAAATCCTCTCTACATGGCTCCTCGCTCGAGTGTCAAATTCTCCGCTCGAGCGGACACCACACCTGCAGAAAATACTGGGAGCTCGAAATCCCCGCTCGAGCGGCGCCTTCCACGCTCGAGCGGACGTCATAAATTCTAGGTTTTCCAAAACTGTGTTCTTGAGCTTCAACTTGATATACAAAGGTTCAAAATGCATGTTTTTTGCTCAATCTTCACATATACATATACTAGCATGGTATGAATACCAAATTACATCATTATGAAGCTTAATTTCTTGTATTACTTACATGCATGTCCCAAATTAACCCAAATTCATCACCAACACATCAATTCAAACAAGTAAAGCTTACACTTTCATGATTTACACTTGTATGTGGCAGATACATATTATTCTCAACTTAATTGGTGAAGAGATGATCAAACACATAGATTTCAAACAAGATTCAACATGTATTACATACTTTATGCCCAACACATGAAAATTTATAGCAATTTCCTACATGCATGCATCTATTGGCTTCAAATACAACAACATCAACTCAATTTCCTCATAATCAATTTAATCCATGCTCTTGACCATTATTCAAACTTGAATTCACAAGATTACAAACTAGGATCCATGAATTACTCACTTAGAGGCTTAATTCTCCCAATCTATAGCAAAATCTTGAGTTTAATCTTCAAGAGGTTCAAGTCTTGAACCAAAATTGCACAATTCTCCCCTTTCTCTTCTATAGCTGACCCTCTCCCCCTTTCTTAGAGTTCTCTTCAGCCAAATGAGAATTAAAAAGAGAATTTGAGTGAAAGTGGCCCACTATAAACCCCTACTCAACTCAATATTTTAATATAAGGTATTTGGGCACTTAATCCATTAATTTAATCAATTTAACCTGATCCGAATCAATTTTCAATCAAATTTCACCGTAGACTCTAAAAATTATGCCAATCACGATGGCGCAATCAATTTCGGGTTCTGTGGCCGATAAAGCATTCAATTTAAATTCCAAGGCAGATAATCAAACAGATATTCCTACGGTGAACAGATAGAAATTTAAAACCACATATATTCATATAAATGGCACTCAAAATCATAACAAACACATAATCATATACATAAAGAGGATAAATTAGCATAATACGGAACAGGGGTATCACAGCAAGTAGTGCAACCAATAACAGGACTGTAAATTAGTGGCAGTCAAGGACAATGCCCAATTGTCTTTTGTACATGAACTGCTATGACCTACTGTTTTTTGCTCTGGTTAACAATGTTGATCAATTTTTTGTAGTTACACTTTTTAACTAGATGTGCTCATCATTTTGCTGGTTTGTAATCACTTTTGTTGATCAACTATTGTATTTAGTTTGTCTTTTGTTGGTGAATCTTGTCTTTTGTTGGTAAACAATGTGATTGCCTTTTGTTGTTTAGTGAATGAATATTGACCAAGTGTATTTGTTTTATTCTTATTGCCTTTTGGCATTGTATTGTTCTATTTATTGGAAATGCCAATCAATATTACCAAATCACAACACATTATACATTTGTATGTAATCCAATTGTAGTCTAACATTGATCACAAAGCTCACATAATTCAATACATAATCTTCAAATGGCATTGCAATTCACAAAAATACAAAACCCATTTCATTTCAGCCATTCAGACAACATTACACATGGTTAACATTGCATATGCTATTCTAGCATTGTTTACAAAACTAACACAATCCAAATTCAAAACATTAAAACATGAAACACCTACATCTACAATTCTCATTCTCATTATGTCGAATCATTGTCATTGTTGCTACCAGTAACTTTTCCATCTTGCTCTGTTGTGAGGTAGCACCATAAGAAAAATATCCATGACATCACTACAAAGATCAGTAGCTTCCTTTCTCTTCCTCTATGCAATTGGACCTGGTCTTCAATAACCCTAATTCTTTTAAGTAATCCATTAATCACCTCTTAAACTTGAGTACCAGCAGGAGGATCAACCCACATGAAGAACCCACAAGCACCCCCACTCTGCATTTATCAAACAAACAAAAAAAAAAAAAATTCAACCACGAACTATTCAACAGAGGATAAATATACATATCTATATATCTATTTTCACTTACTCCATATCTGCATTTATCAAACCAAAAAAAAAAAAAAATTCAAAATAGCATGATTGAACACAGGAAAAAGATATATATATATATATATATATATATTAACTTACTCCATAACAGAGACAACCCATAAACCTTCTTGAGGGATTATTCTCAGTTCAAGATATGCATATACTCGAGCCCTCAACCCACATTGGCAACAGATTAATTCTATTTTCTTTCTCTCATCTTCTTCGTCTTGCCCTCAACCTACATACGTAGTATATTATGTACATATATCTATATATCAGTTGCAGAATTGGGGAAAATGGGTATGGGGGTGTTGAAATGACAACCTTGCCCTTGGGAAAAATGGGTTTCCGTCGAAAATCCCAACGACGGTTAACTATTAGACTAATTCGAGCCAAAAACCAAATTGCAAGGGCAAAATTGATACATTTAGAAGTATAGGGACCAAAATGAAACTATGGGTAAACTATAGGGACCATTTTCGTAATTTTTTCTTTCATTTTTTTTCTCACAAAAGTCAAAAAAGCCAAAAAACCTATCCAAAATGAGACTTTTTAACCCCAAGCTACAATAATCAAAAAACTGAAAAGCCAAAAAGTCAACTTACATCCCAAACGAAGGCTCAATAATTTGTCCATTGTTTTACCGATTTACAATTTCTCTTCCGTTATACATAGATCCAAAAATTCATTCAAACAATGAAGGTAGATTGATCATTGAACTAATCAAAAGTTGACACCTATCATATACCTTCATGTAGGTCAAATTGTGAGAATTTTTTTGTGAGTCTCAAATATTGTGCATTAATAAAATGATATACGTGTCATATTTTATTTATTTATGAATTTAGTTTTTAGATTTGATTCATATACGATATTATAATAAAACCCAATGAATTATGCTCATAGTGATGAAAATCAAATACAATATAAATTTTCTTATAAAGAGAACTCTCAAAGTGAAAGAGGAAGTCTCAATTAATACATGGGGAACAAGACCTAAACATATGTGAGGAGATTCGAATTATTAATCCCTACTGAGGTGCAGGAGTTATACTCAATCAGACCAATTCTGTTGATTTATTTATTAATTTATTTCAATAAATTATAGGGAAATTTATTAGAAAGTCCAATTTTGGGAACTTCTGTACCATTTGGTCCCACATTTTAAATGGTTGATTGAGGAGTCCTTATTAAGTATAGTGTGTGACTAGTAAGTCATTTTTCAAACTTGGATGAGTATTGGTTAGACAAATATACCCTCACTAGTTAATTGGGATTTTTTTTTTTTTTTTGGAATATGTGACAGGTATGGTATGATAATTTAATGTGGAAAGTATTAATATGACACTCCAACAATGGGACACTCCCAAAAAATTAAAAACTCATTAGTGTACTTTTTCCAAATGTGACAACGTGGCAAGTATAACGTGACACTCCAAAATTTTTGCTTATCCTTAGTGTGCTTTTTCCAAATGTAACAACGTGATAAGTATGATGCGACACTCCAAATAAAATAAAAACTCCTTAGTATATTTTTTTTCAAATGTGACAACGTGGCAGGTATGTTGGGCCACTCTAAAAAAATTAAAAACTCCTTAGTGTACTTTTTCTAAACGTGACATGTGACACTTCAACGTGGTGGATCCAATTTGATTGAATTACTGCGTGTCTTTATGTCACGTGCCAAAAAATAATTAGTAAGGAATTCACGTCCCACAATGCGTATGTTAAAAATAACCAAACTTTAAAAAGCTATTAGTGCGCTTTTCGAATAGTGTGACACACAAACACCCCACCGCCTTCCCCATACATAACCGTGCCACTTGTCCCACAACTGTATTAACAATGGCAAAACAGTCAACAAATATTTTAAGAGACCACTCAGTCATAAAAATAAAAATAAAAAACATTTATGACCTTATAGATTACAAGTTTACAAAATGAGATTTACTAGTCAATTCCCCTAAATCATAAATACATTCCTTAAAGTTGAGAAATTCTATTTCCGCACACCGAATTATCTCTGTATACATCTTTTCTCAATTCACACATTTAGTAATTTGATTTTTACTTTTTTATCTCAATCCACACACTTCACATTCTAAATATACCCTCACATTCTCTGTTCACATCCTCTCATTCCATTATTTCTCACTCCAAATATACCTTCACCTTTGCTTCCAAATTGCTTATCCATGGACCCACACCTCTCTGATATTTTTCTCTCGTCTTTCATCTCCATGCCCCCGACAAGCACTGTGGTTGTAACATCGGCCGCCTTCCTCTACTACTTTGTATGCTTTCTCAGTTTCTTCATTTCGGTTTCCAATGCCTCATTTGTTCCTTCTACAGCTTTAAGCTTCTCCTTCAACTTGACTTCATTAGCTCTCAATTCTTCTAGATCTAGTTCTAGTTGGCTTAATCTTGAAGTCATGTCCTCTTCCTTGGCTTGACCTGTTGATATCTCCAAAGCTGCTTCATTGAGCTGACCTTTTAGGTTCTCGTTTTCTTGGTGAAAAACTTCTAGTTCTTTCCCTTTCTCTTCTAACTTAGCTTTCAACAAATTCGTTTCATCGTTCTTCAAGGCTAAGTTATCAAGGCTTGGTTTGGCATGTCTTGAAAAAGTCAAAAAAAGTTACTTAAAAAGCTAAAATGTAATCAATATTCACAAAAAAAAAGAATACAAAAAAAATATATATTTACACATAAAAAAATATAACTCAACTTTTTGCTGAAGTGATAGGCTGTCTGCGTGATTGGTCTGCTGTACGGGTAGTAGAAATGATTGCCTTCTTCGTACGCAACCATTTAAACTATGTTGTTTGGCCCGTGGGGGCCACCATGGGTCACATTTTGATAGTCTGAACCGTTAATATGTAGAACTCGTTGAGTACTATATGCTTGTAAAAAATTAGATTGATCGGATATCGCTAACTATATGATCAAATCAGTTTTGTATAAAAAAAAATTGGATAGTGTTATAGTTAACTGGTGAACAAAAACTAATCCGATCAATGTGATTTCGATATCCGATCAATATGATTTTCTACAAGCATATAATACTCGACGAGTTCTACATGTTGAACGGTTCAGATTATCAAAATGGGACTCGTGGTGGGCCCCACGAGCCGAACATCACAGTCCAAATGGTTATCCGCGAAGGAGGCAATCATATCCTTATCTCCTACACTCTACCCAGAAAAAGGTGTCGTACAGCCTATTACACTTACTTCTCCTATACACTTATTTATATAATTTTTTATTACACATTTTTTAGTAAAAAGATAAAAAGTTAACCAAAACATCCATCTTTTTTTCCTTAACTTTTTAGTTCAAAATGATAAAAAATGTATTTATTTAGGACACCCCAAACAACCCTTTAATGTAGGCTTTTGTGTCTTTGGTGATTCAGTTAACTTGCTAATTGGTTTGGCTTCTTCACCATCTTCTTGATCAATCAATTCGCTAAATTCAACTTTAGGTTCCATTGACACTTTTTCTATTAGAACTTCAAAAACATCAGTTTCACACTAGTTGTTACCGGGAATCTCATGACACTTTTTTCGGTTTTGTCATCAGTTTCCTGTGTATGATTAAGGTTTGGACATGGGAGGCCATAGCCGACGGTGAAGTGGCTGGTAGGATGGTAGTGGGTGAGATGTGCATGGAAAAATTGTGAGATTTGTGGGTGAGAAGGTAGTTTTGTTAAAAAAATAAAATTATGATTCTGAATAAATTCATTAAAGTGTGTGGAGGAAGGAAACTAATGTATGGAAATAAAATTTTCCTTTAAAGTTCACTTAAAGTACAAAAAGTATTTGTACTTTACCCAATTTATGTTCAATAAATTTATTAATTTATTTAAATAAATTATAAATACATTTTATAAGATTTACCTAAAATACAAAAAATATTTATAATTTATCTAATTTATTTTTAATCAATTTATTAAATAAATTACAAATACATTTTTTAAGGTTGGATTAAAATAGGTATTTCTAATTTATCCAATTTATTTTAAATCGATCCAAACGGAGACTGAGGAAACTAACAGTAACAGTAGGCACACACATTTTCTTTCTCGATTCATAAAATTTTACCAGCTTCCAAACACACCTCGAAAATTTTCTAGGGTTTCACAGAGTCTTCTTCCCCAAATCGAATCTCTAACCCTACAATGCTCGGGGGATTATACGGAGATCTCCCTCCACCTTCCTCCACCGATGAAGACACCAACAGAACCACCACCAACTCCTCAAACGTCTGGTCCAGCAGCGCCAAGATGGCTCCGCCAACTCTCCGCAAACCAGCTTTCGCGCCGCCGCAAACGGTTCTCAAAACCCTAATCAAGCCCAAATCATCAAACTTGGCTAGGACGGCGGCGCCGCCGGTGGTGGTGGCGGAGGACGACGGTCGGAGTCCCAATTTCCAGCCGGCGCTTTGTGGGGTCACGGCGTCGGTGATCGAGGAGTATGATCCGGCGAGGCCGAATGATTATGAGGATTATAGGAGAGAGAGGAAGAGGAAGGCAATGGAGGCGGAGGTGAAGAGGGAGTTGGATAGGAGGAGGCAAGAGGAGGAAGAGAGGGATAGGGAGAGAGAGAGGAGAGAGAAAGAGGCGGCGACGGAGAGGGAGAGGGAGAGGGAAAAGGATTTTGGGGATTCTTCGAGGTTGAATATTTCCGGTGAGGAAGCGTGGAAGAGGAGGGCGGCGATGAGCGGAGCTATGCCGCGATCACCTTCGCCGCCGTCGAGTGGGGACGGGTTTAGTATTGGGAAATCGGAGACGGGTGGGTTAGGGATTGGTTCAGGTGGGCAAATGAGTGCGGCGCAAAGAATGATGGCAAAAATGGGGTGGAAGGAAGGGCAAGGGCTTGGGAAGCAGGAACAGGGGATTACGACTCCGTTGATGGCGAGGAAGACAGATAAGAGAGCTGGGGTTATTGTCAATGCGAGTGAAAATAAGCCGGAGAAGAAGTTGAAGAGTGTGAATTTTAATGGACCGCCTACTCGGGTTTTGTTGCTTAGAAACATGGTATGCAATATTGACTCCTTTATTGAACTAGTTGTTGCATATAAAGTTTGGTGCTTTGATTGTGTTGTATGGGATTGTGTAAATTATTTGGAATGTTGTTGCAAGATAATGTTTGTGTTGCCTAGAATCATATAGAATTGTTTTGAAACTTGGGAAGAAATTATTTTCTATCACAATAAAGGCAATTTATAAGGAAATAGCAAAATGTACTTGGTAAACATGGAAAAAAATCGGAATAATACTGAGCTATTATCCGAGAAACCACTTTCAAATGACATGAAATGTGAAACATTATTGATATGTTCGGATGGAGGGGATCTGAAGGGAAGTGCATTACTTCCCGTTGTTTGGTTATTTAAAAAGTAGGAGAGGAAGGAGTTAAAAAGGATGGTCAGGATCCCTTTTATTTCACATTTTGTTCGTCTCCGAAGTTGGGAGAAAAGGATGGGAGTTAGTGATTACCAATCCCAATTATATCCTTTTTTAATACGTAAAAACAAATATTCCTCATTTCCCTTCACTTCCCCTTCTCTCCCAAACAATATTGTTTCCTCACCTTTCAGTTATTATTCAAACAATAGGAAGAGTACCGCTTTCCTTCCCCGTCGACCTACACTTTCTATGCCTTCCATCCAATCATAGTGTAGATGTTACCTATTTGGTATATGCATCTCTCCTCTCTTCCAATTATTGTCTACCCAAACAAGAGAAAGGAGATGTCACCCTCCTTTCCCAAATGAGAAGAGGGTACCTCCCCTTCATTCCCTTACTTCCCTTACCTCATAGTCTATACTTCCATTCACTCCTCATATGTATCCAAACGTAGTGTAAGGCCGTTGATGGGGAAATGTAGGTATGCTAGAGAGATTGCTTCTGAATTTGTTGAACGATCCCGTCCATAAGAATGCTTAAGTTTCTATTTTTTCTCATCTGGAGCTACAAATTCTAAAAGCCCCGTATGTCCCTTCTGGACATCTGACTTTGAAGGAGTCCCTTTCCTCTAAAAGATCTTTGAAATCATGACCAATCTTCTAATGCTATAGAAGAATTAAATGTGTGCTTTAGGTGATATACTCAGCCAATAGATATTGAAAAAGTTGTAGACAATGTTGTAGTCCTTCAAATTTGATTGTTCCTACTCTCTTTTGGATTCCCCGAAGAGTAACTGGGTAATTGTCTGTTGGACAGGTTTTTGGATTTTGTTGACCACTTGCAGCCTTGCAGGTTTGAGTTCTTGAACAGGGGTTAGGGGTGTAGTGTCGTTTGCATTGCATGATTCCCTCTTACTTAGTAGGGCTTGAAAGGCTGGACTATAAGCCCACTCCCCAAGATTATGTTAAGATAGCAGAGCTGCATCATGTACAAATGGTTGATTCACTATTTGGATTGTTTTTAATAAAAAATTATGTTATTAAAAAATGAAAATTTGTATACTTTTTTCACCTAGGGGTACTATAAACAGCTATGTAGTTCTTGTGATGTCAAAGCCAGGAATGTGTTAAAACAGGCCATCTTATGCATAGTTCATATTTTCTGGTGACTTACAACTCTATTATGCTAGAGTTTGTGTGTCACATGGTGTGTCTCTGTATCTCTGCGTCTGTTGAATTTTATGGAATTTTTGTAGTGAAATTGGATTTATTGCAAAGTGTTTGTTTTTGTTTTTATATAACATAAGCACCACTGATCACTTGTTGGTCCTCAAGGAGTGCTGTTATCTATTTGATTCACAAAGCAATAGACATGTCAGGGTACATTGGTCTCTAATGGTACACTTCGTCCGAAAATATCCTGGGAATCTTTAAAAGTCTAGGCAATTTTAATTGATTTTACAATAAAAAGCCAATTTGTGTCCATGGAAGAAATGTAAGTATATTCTGGTGCTATTGAAGATTTTAATTGGAGGACTTGTGAGAAATTCTTCAGATTCATTAGATTTGGGATAACTAGGGGGTGGGGAAGACATTATCCTGTTCTTGTCCCCATTTAATTGAGGGTCAATATTATTATATATAACACATTTTTTCTAGAGAAAGAAATTTGAGGTGAAATAGCTTTACTTGTATTGTGTTCTCTCTCTCTCTCTCTCTCCCCGTTAAGTCCTAATTATGTTTGCTACAAGATGTCCATTGTATGGGGAGGTATGAGAAACGAAGAGCAGGGCTTTTGGCTAAGTGTTCGAGTCTCTCTTCTCTTCTCATCTTCTTCTTTTTCTCCTCCTGTAGTGTCCATCCTACCGCGCCCTCTTTATATGTTCTTCTTCTCATAAATGGCACGGTTGTCTTGGAGCATCGTGAGAAAATCTCAGGATTTGCAACTCACAGATGATTCATGTGATTCTATAGTTTTTGCAACTATAGAAGTCTGAAACAAACTTATCAAAGACCTTTTAAGTTGAGGCTTTTAGGGTTGTATAATATCATTTTTAGCTTCTCTTTCCTTTCTCTTCTCACTTAACCTGTTCTCTAAATTCTTGTTCTATTCAAGTGAGAATCACTGCTTTCATGGCATGAGCTCCTTTCAGCTCGAACTGAGTGTGAATCTTGATTACCAATTTTTAAAAACATTAAAAATGCTTTGTCAGCTTTACAAATAAGTTCCATATCGAAGTTTTTTGAAGACGAATTCTGATAGGCTTTGTTTCTGTATTTGTTGTTGGTTTTTCTTCTCCTTTATCGTAACACTTTGTCTGTGACTTGTATAGAAAGGGACTGAATTGTGTTTTCTTGTTGAAGGTTGGCCCTGGTGAGGTAGATGATGAGCTAGAGGAGGAGGTTGGAACAGAATGCACCAAGTTTGGGACAGTAACTCGGGTCCTCATATTTGAGATAACAGAGCCGAATTTCCCCTCTGAGGAGGCAGTTAGAATCTTCGTGCAGTTTGAGAGATCAGAAGAGACAACCAAAGCACTTATCGATCTTGAAGGACGTTTCTTTGGGGGTAGGGTGGTTAAAGCTACTTTCTATGATGAAGACAAGTTCAATAAGAACGAGTTGGCTCCGATGCCAGGGGAAATCCCTGGTTTCTAAATTGCAGTAGTAAGTTTCCGATGTAAGTGGTATTTGGATTTCCATTGACAAATGTGAGGATCTGACAGGTGTAAGTAGGATTCAAACTTTGAGTAACCTTTTAGTTCTTGAATATGGATGGAGAGTTTGCTCAAAATCATGCTTGTAACATTAGCAAACAATAGTTGCATTGAGGACATTGTTACAATTATTGGAAACAACTTTTGGGTGTTGTGATCAATTTGTGAGTTTATCCTATAGGCTAAGTTTGAATGACAAAAATCTTCAGGGGGAATGAGAATGTGATTTTGGGTTCTTATGATTCCGGTCTTTGGGGTTGTTTCTAAGCTAAGTAGAAATATAATTCTCTCATTTTTTTTCATGAACATTTCACATTTGTGGAGGAATGTTAGCCGTTTAAGATTGAAAAAATAATAATTGGAATTACAATTTTTAACTTATAATATTTTTTTCATGGAGTTTTTAATGAAATCAAACACTTGAAAACTGATGTTGCTTTTGAACAAGTAAAATTAAACAAGCATTAGATAGTTTAAAAGTGGTTCTCCTGTATTGTGCAAAGAAAGCTTAGCTTTATTTTATATGGTTTTGTATTTTTAAAAACAGTTCTTGGATTTTTTGTTTTTCATATTTTCTTGTCTTTGATGAATTTTTTTCATACATATCTATCATAAGGTCAAGAATCATTCATGGGGTGACCTCACAATAAGTAGGTCAGATCTCCACCTTAGATGTGAAATTTTGGGCAATTTTCTGGGGAACTTTTCTGGGTAGATAGACTTTCTTCTGTTATCCGAATTATCAAAATTTTGAAATTGTAAATTTATTTTCCTCTTGAATCTTGAGAAAACAGAACTAAATTAGCTATAATTATTTATTTAAAATTTATTGGGCTGACATTATTCTGGAAATAATGCCAAAATTAGGATAACAACACACTTTTTACATGTTTCTAAATATTTTTACATACACTATTAGGCAATCAATAGCATTTTGGGAGTGTTTGGCCTAGTTTTTATTACCCAACTTATAGTTTTTAACTTAAAAAAATAAAAAACTAGCTTAATCATATCAACTTAAATTTATAACAACTTTTTTTTAAGGTAAATAATCTAATTTTGAGAATATGTTCCGAGGGTGCTTCTGATTCTTAGCGTAAGCGAAAGAGGGTCAAAATTATTTAAATGCCCTTCACCAATTTGAAGTATTACTAAATTGCCATTATATAAACCCAAAAGATATCCCTCAGAGAGAGAGAGAGACAGAGACAGAGATAAGCGATTGCTGACGGTGAGAGGAGATTTCCGGTGAATCTCTCTCTCTCTCTGTTCATCGTTGTGCCTTTGTCATTGTCCTCCCATCGTGATCAATGGTAAAGTGTTCTCCAATTGTTATGAGCTCTCTCTTTCTCTCTTTTTCTCCGACGTCTGTGATTTGAAATCATTGCGATCTGGTATTGGAAATCGCCATCTCTGGCGTAGTGAGAGGCAATTTCTAGCGTGAACCAAAGCTGTCTCTCTCTCACGATTTAAAACCTGCGCGATTCCAGTATGAACCACCAGTTCCGGAAGAAAACGAATGACTTCTCTCTCTCTCTCTCAATTTGAAACCATCGTTTTTCCAACATGAATGACCTCTCTTTCTCACGAACCAGAGGTAGTGGCTAGGGCATTAATGGCGAGGGCTTCGCAGACTTCTATTAAAAGAATTTTATAATATAAAATAGGGACACTTTTTCATGAATCCCTTTTCATTTACTCATATTCCATTTAGTCCACATTATTTTCTTATATTCCAATAAGTCCTATGGGTGACATAATTACCAAAATGTCTCTAAAAATATTCACATTTACAGTGCGAATGTTCCGTGATGTGAGTGTTCACATTGTCAATGTGAATGTTAATATGTCAATGTGAATATTCACATTATAAAATATGGATGCTCACATCACTAAATTACTAGCCGTTCAAAAATATTTGTAAGGGTAAAAATGTCCATAAAATATCTTAAATATGAGAATTATAATTTGATAGATCAAATGTTCAAATAATAGGATTTATTGGAATACAATCAGTGTGTTTGGTTTGAGTTTTCTGGATTAAGTTTTTTAAAAACTGAGTTTTTTGATTTTTGTATTTTTTTGTTTTTAGTGAATATTTTTAAAATTTTAAAATTTTAAACATTTTTTATTTATTTTTTTAGATGTACTTTACTTAGATGTATCTAAAAAGTAAAAAAAAATGTGAAAAAATATTTTAAAAAATTAAAAAATACATAAAAATATAAAAAATGTACTGAATTCTTATATTTTTTTTTGTATTTTTGGTATTTAGTGAATTTTTAAAAGATTTTTTTTACAATTTTTTTTTTAATTTTAAGGTATATTTATGTTAGGTGTGTCTAAAAAGTAAAAAAATTGCATAAAATATTAAAAAAATTCAATAAAAACAAAAAAATACAGAAAATAAGAAAGTAAAATTTTCTGAAAACTGTTTTTAGAAAAATGGAACCAAACATAATATCTTATACACTAATTGACATACAAACACTTGAAAAAAAAAATTCTAATATATCCCCCTATAAAATTCTTTGGTGTTGTAATAAATAAATAAAAAACAATTGTTGTTAATTGATATTAATGGAAAAAAAATGAAATAACAATTGTTGTAATGAAATGTATCAATTTTTATATTAATTGATACTAATTATATTAACCTCTATTAATGAAATAATTTTTTTAAAAATTAGAACTGAAGAAAATGAAAAAATAACTTTTTATCTTATAAGAGCAAAAAGGACATTTCACAATAAAAAATTATTTATAACTTATTCAACCAAACGCTACTCAACAACTATACCAAACAGATTAACAACTTTTAATTAAAATCATAAGCTATAATCTATTAAACTATGATTAATAATCTGTTTTAACAGTTATATCAAACAGAGCCTTTGTATTCCACTTAACCAAGTGATTCCTAGTTTCACCTTATTTAGCACTATCATTGGTTAGTGATACCCTATGATAATGTCTCGTGGTATCGTAGTTGTACTCAATTTCAACTCTTGCAAACTTGCTTGCCTTTTTGCAACTACAATATCAATAAAGAATATTTAATAATGTGATTAGTGCCATATAAGAAAGTAAGAAAATTTAGAAATTATGTTAATCATAGTGCTATACAAACTAAATAAATTTTACATACGTTTTTTACTTGCTGATGTGGCAGCTATCATATCATCAAAGTAGATCTTGTTTCAATTTTTTAAATTTTATTATTATATGACACATCAGTTAATAAAAAGAAGTTTGAAAGATCTGTTAACTTGTGCATACATTATCCAAAAACATCCCAAGCTCTGGAGGCAAATTTTTCACTAGCAACTTTCCACAGGAAAAAGGAAAGGAGGAAATAAGTGGGAGAAGTAAACACAATCAACTGGAAATGACTTCTGATGAGATTTTGCTTGAATTACACATAAATGAGATGTAGGTACCAGTGTCACTGGGGCATTTCGAGGTCTGGTCTCCGATCAAGTGCTTCTATTGATGAATCATCAAGAAATGCATCCGGGTATGTAGCCAAAAGCTTTGCCTTCAGGCTCCTGCCAATTTGAAAGAAAAGAAATCAAATTACCGAACTGTCAGAATCCAAACAAAAAATCGGAATTTAAGCAAAGTCATCAGATGAACTATATTTTTAACAGTTCAAATTGAGAACAAATCCAGGCAAACCAAAATAGAAGTCGGAATGATAATCCATGATGACAGAAACAACACATAACAATGGCTGATGAAGAAAGAGGAGAAGAATTAAGATCCATCATACATACAACTACGTGTCTAAGTGTTAGATTCATCTAATTTCCAATGGTTGGCAGGGCCAGAAGCCCGGCCCCCTTCCTTCTGCCCCTGCTTGACAACACATACTTATAAAGGGCTGTCCTAGTTCCTATCCATCTAAAATGTCCTTTTCAAAACATCTCTCTTACATGTAATGCATCTAGATGATTATATATGCTACCATCTTAAATCATAATGTTGAAAATAACACTATTGAGCAACTAGAGGACAAAGCCCCTTCTTCTTTCCATGTTCCAGTGCACCTACCTAAGAAGCACGGACACGGATACGGATGTGGACACGAGACACGATGATTTCAAAAAAATAGAAACACAGACACGGTACACGGCAATAAAATATGTTTTCATATAATTTCATTCGCTATTTAGATTAATATTATATCCACAAACAATCAATATTAACAAAAATAACTCATGTGGCGTGTCCTATACATGTTTTCGCCGTGTTGGCATGTCCCCGAAGTGTTTGTGTCCAACACGAATACGGCACTTCATAGGCACCTACAAATGATGCACAAATCAAAATTAAGTTGACTTCCAGTTCTGATACTTAAGCTAGCTACCAGTAATGATTCTAACATATTATTCATGTTAAAACCCAGAACTGCATCAGTAGTCATACTATTTCTTCCTACTTCCTCCTACATTCCACAATGCCTTCCCAAATTCTCTGATGTAGGAAACACAAATCCACCTCCCAATTCCAGCCATTTCAAACTGAACCACATATTCCTAGTTATGGTTGTACACAATACCGCCAAAACCGCACCGAACCGTGCATTTTTTCAGTTCTGGAGGGCAGGTTGGGCAGGTGGGGGGTCCAAGATTGGCGGGTCGGCACGGGTAGCGACTTCAGAAAGCCCACCCGCCTACTCAACCAACCTGACCTGCCACTTAAATTTTTTAATTTTTTAATATACGTCTACATCCAACCTCCAGGTTCAGGCCGTACATACACACGCAATCAATTCTCAATCAAACCTACTTCACACCCCAACATCTCATCTCACTCATCGATTGGTTTGTCTCCCCTCTTGCTCCTCCTTACCTTGCCGATCGGTGCCACCGCTGCCATTACCCTTGCTATTCGCCTTTCCGGTGCTGCTTCTCCGTGTCTTCTTCCCGATTTGGCACGTGGTTCTCTCTTTGCTCTCTCTCTGCTCTTTCTGGATGTGAATGAGAATAAGATAGCGAGGGATTTGTAATAAATGAAAAAAGAGAAGGAAAAATTATTCACTTTTCCCCTCATTTTTCTTTGAACTCTATAGCCAAAATTATTGTACCTTTTACTTTCAACGTTGGTAATATTGTTCTAGACAAGTGCTAAAATATGTTAAATGGATTTGTGTTGTTGAGGGATTGGAAGCATGACTCCACTTTTTCCTTTCACAAAAGCAGTATGATGAGCAAGGATTTTTCCTTTCTGGATTTGTTGAATATAATTTGTTTGAACATATATATAGTGATATATATAGAACATCAGAGAAACAGTCCGTTCTCAAAATACAGAAAATGCATTGAGCACAAGAATTTCAAACTATTAAATGAACAAATATCATTCAACAACACTATCAACACTATTTTAGTTAATTTATAAATTAGATTTTTTTACTCTTTGATTCAAGTTTTGTAATTTGAATTATGTTTTTTTTTTTAATAAACCGTCAATCCGTCCGAACCGCCAAGTTGAAACCGTCATTACCTGCCAACCGAACCGCCGGTTTTTGATAAGAAAAATAGCAATTTCTATTGACAATTATGTCAATCCGCCATCTGCCATGCAGTTTTTATTTTACCCCAAACCACACCAACCCGCACCGCACCACCTCTATTCCTAGTAACAAATAGCAAATTTGAACATCTATTTAAATAGAAAAATATGATGAATCAAGAAGTTTGTGGTCTTCTGTTTTCAACTTTTCACAAAATTGATGCTAAATGCAGTGGAGACTTAAATTTCAATAGTTGAGGATTAGAAATGCCAGACCCACTTGATTGTGTACTAGGTCCAAACACCAGAAAATGAGGAAAGCATTGTGGACTTTTTAACAAAAGAAATGAGGACTCTCATGCACAACACAGCATTTTCAATGTGAAAGATTCACAAGGATAAGTTACATCATTAGGGAGTAGGACTGATTGACGAGAACGCAACCATACACAACAGTCATACTTGAATACTAAGGTTGCATTTGGTTGGGAGATTTGGCAGAAGAAAGAGAAAAGATAGGTGAAATATGAATAAAATATATTTACATTTCACCTAGTTTCACATTTTTCGCTTTTCTTCTCCAAATCCCCCACCCAAACACAACCTAACAAATTTTCAAGTGCAGGAACCATTTCTGCAAAATGTCCTTATATTTTATTATGCTCACATATTAGCGAAATTCACAGTTAAAATACCATCTAAACATCATTGGCAAACAAACATTGTCAATCACAATCACTCCAAAAAGAGTAAGCATGTACTAAGTCCTCAGCATTGATTACAATGATGGGTGTAAGAAATAATGATAAGCATACCTCAGCTTTTGAAATATGTAATCAAGGTCTGACTTCATAGACCTTAAGAGACGTGCATTTCTAGAGAAATCAGTGGAAACCTCTGCAAAGCAATGCTCTGAGTACTCATTAAAATGTGAAAGGACTGCATTACTGTCCTGCAACCTTCCCAATCTGCAATTTGGTAGAAAACAATTATTTTAAAGTAAAAAAATAAAGAAACCAAATTAATTTCCAAACTTGGGCTGCAGCTCCATTTAAGGAACTGATGCTCGAAAACTGCTGAGTTCAAGCAGCAAATCATTAAATAAAAATCTATATAACAATGGAAGGCTTGATTTGAATTCAAGGGCTCAAAATGTATATGTGTCAACGTATGGACCATTAGATTGATTCAATCCAATGGCTGAAAATGTCTTACTCTCATTTGTCTTATTTGGACATTTTAATGGTTGAGATCAATTACCATCAAGATCTAATGGTGCAAAATGTAAGTTCCAAAATATCTCAAAATGTATCTCTCACACCTACTCCTCTCATCTCAAAATCTGTCTCTCTTCCAAATTTCAAAATTTGAACAGACCCCTCTCTCTCTCTCTCTCCATCGGAGCCCATTCCCATGCTCTTCTTCAATTCCTATCGGAGCCCAACAATTGCCGGAGACACAACCCCGAACCCCCTATTACCCTCTTCGTTTTCTCTCTTCCTCCCTCTCTCTCTCCGCCATCCCAATCTTCATCAACAATGGCAACGACGACCGAATGAATGGGGCCACTGCAAAATGAAGAATCTAAAGGAAGAATCTGGTATATTTGAACCATCATGGTATATTTCCAGCAAGAGAGCAAACCAGAAATTGGTAGATCTAAATGCATTGTTTAACCATTCTTTACTCTGTTTATAAATAATAAAAAGTAGTGGAGTTCAACCATTCTTTACCCTGTTTATGAATTAGGTTTACCGGGATACCTAATTATAAAATATGTATAAAAAAAAAAGTTTGTGGAATTCTACCATTGTTTACTCTGTTTATGAATTAAATTTACATGACATTCGCTGGATTTATTCCTTACCTAAAGTTGTATCTGAGCTTCTGATTTCTATTTAAGAGAAGATTGGATCACATGGTTGTTATGATTCTTGGCCATGTGATGCTTCATCAAATACCTGATAATTACCCAGTTATCTAGACTTTGATTCGACTTGATCTTATGAATTTTGATACTCTGGTTTGATGTCATGTAGCCTCATTTTTTTATAGTTTGTTTGGTTCCTATAGGAGGTAGATCCATCCATGGAGAATGAAGAGGCTCTTGGCACAGATGGAATGGATGGTTTTTTGTCCGATCTAGCTAATGCAATTCCTGGAATTGACGAGGCTATGAGCTTTGCGAAGATGCTCAAGTAAGTAACCATGTTTCATTTGATTTGGTAGCTCTATAAACAGCAAATCTCTCAGGTCCCAATCATTTGTTTCATATTTAGATCTGGATTGAATGGTATATTAACAATGCATATAAGGTGTTTGAAAAAATGCATGTGAGAGATAGAAATTGGTAGTGGTGGCTATTGGGGTAGTGGGTTTTAATTGGTTCTGGAAGGTGTAATTTGGTCAATTAATTTTTTATTTATTGTTTAAAAGTACTAAAATAAACTTTAAAGGATAAAATTTTCATTTTTATTTAAACTTTGACGACATTATTAATTTTTTTGCATTTATCTAATATTGATTAACATAAGATTGTAAGTTTAAAAAAATCACGTTGTCCCTTATCAATGTTTGGATTTTTAGGTGTTTGGACATGGAATTGAAGAGTTATGCTTTGAGATTGATACATATTTAGGAATCTATTATGTTTTTCCTGTGTATAATACAAATATTAGCCAAATAATTTTTAGAAATAAAGAAATTGGACCAACCTTATCAACCATGACAGTTGACAGTGATCACTTACCAATCCTCCTTTCCTTCTTTAACTCCAATGACACAAACCAAGTCAAAAAAAACAATCTCAAAAGAAAGAAAATAAAATTGTATGGGCAAATTACACATACCTCACTTGACAATTATCCTTTCACCTTTTTTCCTTTGTTGTTTTATGATTGATTTTGAGAGAAACTATGTTTGATGAAATGGTTGAGAGTTACACAGTGTAATATGTTCTTTTGATCAGTTATTACTAGGGTATGCCCGTGCTTGAAGGCACAATGAAAATATTATTGGAATGAAAATGTAATTGGAATGATTTTATGATTTTAAACAAACAATAAAATGTAAGTCCCACAATACAAAAACATATAATAAAAATCAGACGAAATATGCCAGCCAATGCATATAAGGTGTTTGAAAAAATGCATGTGGGAGATAGAAACTGGTAGTGGTGGCTATTGGGGTAGTGGGTTTTAACTGGTTTTGGAAAGTGCAATTTGGTCAATTAATTTTGTATTTATCGTTTAAAAGTACTAAAATAAACTTTGAAGGATAAAATTTTTATTTTGATTTAAACTTTGATGACATTATTAATTTTTCTTACATTTATCTAATATTGATTAACATAAGATTGTAAGTGTATTATAATTAAGCTTTTAGCAAAATTTGTTATAATGTTTTATATCAATCGTCTTTTCTTTTTTTTTTAATTACAAGCAAAGGTCCATAAAATATCAAAAAATGGTTCTTTCTATTTGGGACACCATGTGACACATCATAAACCAATCACAAATCATCATACCTTCTGTTGTCCCTTATCACCTAACAAAAAAATCATGGGTTCTACCTTCACTACTAAGCCATGCAATAACACATGGCTGTGCCGTTGAGACACGAGACAACTATTCTAAAATATTCTTAAATTGTTTTGACTATCTTAATGTGTCATTGAAATGAAAATCAATGGTTGGACCTAGGATGAAACCTCTTACCTCACAAGCTATATCAAAAAGAAATTGCATAGTAAAAAAATTACATGTGTGAATGTTTTCATACACAGGAAAACATAATAGATTTGTATTATACACAGTTTGTTATCCTTACTATTCAAGATTTTAGCATTCCCATGCGTAAATAGTTTGCGTTGCCTCTTAGCTTTTGTCGCCAATAGTTTGTTTAGATTTTATTGAGTGTCAACTCTTTTTTGGTTAGTGCTTTGATTGGTTCTTGTTTGGATGTAATATAAGACTGCTCTAAATCATAAAACAAGGCGCCTGATTTGTGCAAATTGGTCATCAGGTCATATTAAATTAGAACATATTTAATAGAAGCTATGTTTGGATTTTTAGGTGTTTGGACAACTGGTTGAAGAGGTACGCTTTGAGATTGATACATGTTTAGGAATCTATTATGTTTTTCCTGTGTATAATACAAATATTATTTTTTTTTTTTTATTTTTTTTTTTTGGTGCTTGAATCTTGGATTTGTAGAGTGATTTGTGGAGGGAAAAGGAAGTGATTGCAAATATGAATGAAAGCTAAGAGTTTTTTTTTGGCCCCACCCTTCAATAAAATTTTTTCCTTTAAATATTTAGTTTATACTTGAGACTTCAGCTCATTTCCCTCTTTAGTATGTATGAGATTACAAGATATTTTTTTGTTCCTGTGATTACAAGATATCTTTTCTTTTTTTTTTCCTCCTGTTTTTATGTGAAGGGCTACCTTTTTTTTTCTTTCTTTTTCCTATATCTTAATCTCGGAGAATGTTAAGAAGTTGAGATATTCAAAATTGAATTTGAAACTCTCACAATCAGATTTTAGTTAGTTTTCCTGAAGAGAAAGCATTAATTGCGATAATTGAGAAGACCCATAGCGGTAATGGACCCATGCTGATCGGCTTTCCAATTGATACATTTGTTAAGCTTACTCATTTTCGTTGTTATTTTTTTTCACATTTGACAATGCCATTGTCTATTAAAAAGAGAAACCCTTGTGAGATAGTGTTTGTCCACTATCAATACACCATTACCACAGTTCAATTTTGTAGACAAGTGGAGTGAGATCAACCGAGGACGCTAAGCTTGGATAAGTTCTATGGTAATTTCTACTAATACACTATTGTTGAGGGATTTTAATCTCTACTTTGTTCATTCTATTTCATGTGATATTTGTTATCTCTACTTTGTTCGTTGTTATTTATTTATTTGTTATTTCTTCACAACAGGATGAAGTCACTTGCTTGAAGTCAATTTAATTTTTATTTTTATTTTTTTTAGATTACCTAGCACTGGCTGGTGTGCATTTTTTACTATTTATTTTAAATTTAGTTTTTCGGTATTGTAGAGCCATGGTTGGTGTGCATTGTTTGTTATATGTATTTTGAATTCTATTTTTCTGGATTGCAGAGCACTGGCTGGTGTGCTTCATTTGGTGTTTAATAATTTTTTGGTATTGCAAAGCACTGGTTGGTGTGCATTGTTTATTGTTTATTTTTAATTTTAATTTTTAAATGGCTGGTATTATTTGGTAATGAATGAATAATGAAACAAATATATATACCCGTGCCTAGGGGTTGTTATCTTTAATTGAGCTTTATAGAGTGTGTGGTACCAACAAAATTGCTGAGTGTGGGTTTTAAAAACAATATTTCTTTATATTTCTCAATGTCTTAAGTTTTTTGTATGTTTTTCAATAAATTACATTTGTATTCAACTACATTTTGATCTCAATATTATTTACATCGTGTCATTATGCACGAGCATACTTTTTATTTCGTACTTTACATACCTCTTATTCTTCCCTTTGTATTTTGTGTATGTACCTGCTCTTCTCATCTTTATTGTAACCCTCTCTTTGAAATTAATTTTTATATTTTATTATCCGATTTGCTTCTAAAATTGTTATAAGTTGTTTAAGAATAATAATATTTCTTTATATTTTTTTAGTGTCTTTGTCAAAAAATCAAAAAATGATACAAACTCTAAAGTAGGTTGTATGTTATAAGTATGTTAGGAGGTTGTTAATTTTGTGTCAATTAATTTTTTTTTATGACAATTATTGTAGAAATTTAATGTATAAAGAGAAATAATTGTATTATTGATTAATTGATGTGTTGTGTATATTACAATTACAAGGATTCCTATTATATAGGAGTGTGTTTGGGAGTAGGTGGAGAGTAGGTGAAGTGGAGGTGGTAGTGATGTAGTGGGTTAGGTTTAGTGGAGTAGGTGAGGTGGTAGTGGTGG